AAAAGTAGCGTTCAGAAGGGGTACCCTGTAAGGGGTACCCCTAATAATACTACCTAGATTCGGGTTGATAATGTAGAGGCCTTAATAATTAGAATACGGTTTTGGGGCCTATTAAACTGTAATTATAGTAAGGAACCTCCAAAATAATGTGGGTACTTATTTAGGCCCCCATATTAGGTTGTGGGGCTCAGGTTTAGATGGAGGGTTTACGATTCAGGGCTTATGGTTTGGTTTACGGTCTAGAGCAGTGCTATGGCTATGTCAACTGTAGGCGACTACGGCGAGTACTATTCATGCTTCTACTCATATCTCTCCAAAAACAATAACGACGATCCGAGCTACTTGCAAGCATTACTACGACTCCCATGTCTAACAGTTATCATTCCTGCTCTCATCCTTGTTATGCTCGTCATGGGTATTGCGCTTGTCGTTCCTATATTATCTGCTCGTCTACTGTATATCTTACACGGGCATTTGGATGTATGTACATCCTGTCTGGGAGATAGTGATAATGGGTTGGTTGGTGAAGCTGTTATGCTCCAATGCGTACAGTCTCCGTTGTCATGTGTCATCATTCCCTGTAGCACTCGCAGCATCGATGCAGTTCATTCATCCTCTATTGCTGGAATAGTTGGTCTTGTCACGCTGACGACGTCATGGTGCTGAAATCTACAGGAAAACCTAAGCCCCAAAATCCTGGTCAAACACCTGCTTCTGCAAAAGCGAGGCAAGGTTGTTCATGCTGATCAGCGTGCCCGGGTGGGTCGGCCCAAGCATCTCGGCATTGCAATCGGTGTTTGAGGGATAGAGGCAACTAATATAGGGGCCTTAATATCGGGCCCATTATACTATAAGTATAATAAGGAACCCCCGACATAGTATAGGCAATAATTTAGGCCCCTATATTACGACAATTGAGTTCTGAGGCTTCTATCTTTGGACCTTCGAAGAGGCCACTACGCACAAACTACATTCAGACAAGCTCGCTTCAGGCACAGACAAAATGGAGACTGCCAGCCATTGGCCCTCAAATCGAGACAACGACAAATCTGCAGTTTGAGCCAAGACTCCGTTCGACTGCCCTCCAGGTCTTCACGGATCAAGGGCTCCGCTTCTTTCAGCCGGCCCTGCTCCTTCGTCGCAATAACTTGAAGTTGATGGTTGATTACCAAGTGAACCTGAATATCTGTTGCTCGGAGAACACTTATTTCAGTATGTGGGGCTTCATTATGGTTTGCGGATTGCGCCTCAATCTGGGACTATGGCTACGGGGCTCTCTAGGTACTTGACACTACTTGAGGCTGCATCTTACTGTAAAGCTGTGCACTTGCCCTGCCCGGTTCAATCCAAACTCACCCAAGTTGCTGACGCTGATGAGGGTGTCCGGGTGCATGTTTCCGAGCTTCGACCGGCACTTTTCAAGTTCCTCCTCGAAAGCATCTGTGAGGGCTTTTGGTTTGAGGGCTCAGGACTTAGGGCTGTTTTGTTTAAGTGCCCTTTTCTCACCGGCACTGTCTCGCAACATCTAGGACTAGGACTTAGGGCTACGGTTTAGCGCTGAGGATCTATGGTGCAGGATGTGGGGCTGATAAGTTCAGGGTTTCAGCTCGACTATTAAACTCCAAAGCGCTCTAAACTCGAAACTCGGCCCCCCCCCAAAAGTCGCACTTCACGCTGCTTTCGGTCTTTACATGGTTCTGAAGCGGGAAATCTCTGGCTCACAAAGTACGTGTATGGAGTATACGGCCGATGTGGCCGTTTCGCGTTTCGGATTTGAGGCCCAATTAGGGGGTTGACAGTTGCCACTGATGGACGAAATCCTGCATGACCCTATATACCTGAACTGTGGGCATCATGGTACCATCCTAAACTTGGGCCCTGCGCGATTTAGTCCTAAACCCTAAACCCTAAACCTTAAACCTTAAAGCCTAAGCCCTAAACCCCAAA